ATGTAGGCAGAGTAAAGGATACTCAACCTCTCAAGTCTATCAACAAGCTGTTGAGTAACTTGTGGAGCAGCAGTTTTATATTTCACCACGTTGAAAGTCGAAATTATGACTTCCTGTTGGTCTTTTATTTTTTCTTTCATTGCAGAAATGGGCTTCCATTGAGGCAAGTTTTGTTGCTTCTGGAAATAATATTTAGGGTGGATTACATTTCAAATAGAGTCTGTTCATATATTGTTATGTTATGGAAGATGGCAATAATCAACCCATATTTAGTGTTTACTCGATACTGGGTTTTATTAAGGGAATAACAAACATCAGATTTAATGAACTAAAATTAATGTCATATATTTAGAGATAGATATTGTTGCTCACAGAGATATAAACTGCATGTGTTTAATGATGCAGATGCCCACAACAAATATTTGATGTGCAAACCTGGAAAATGTGCGCTACTTGAGAATAAACAACCCATGGTAATAATAAACCGGATCAGTGTAACATTTATTAAACTAAATTAGTGGAGGCTTTGTTGGCTTTGGAGCAAAAAAAAACTGACAACTATCTAAGTGGTTAAGATCTTCTTAAAGAGACAGCAAATGTATATCATGTACATGTGAAGACACGTACGGCAACATCCAATTCTAATTCAAGCTACATCTAATGTAGACTAAACTAATCAAACCTCAGATCTGCAGGCAGAAAACCAAAGCACTGGAAGAAAAAAAAACAAAAAACGAATAGAAAGTCATTCATCAGCGTTCAAATGATCACATTAAAGAGAAGTGAGAATGAGAATCATGAGCAGCGATGATGGATGGCGTGAGAGAAATGTCCTTCAGGCATTTATTACCTCCGATTGAAAGCCGCAGAACATAAACGGTGCATGTGATTAAAGCGAACGCAGTAACACTGAAAGTTAAACAGACCGTCGTCACTGTCGCTCTCGGTGGTGGCTACTTCATAAATCCTCCACCTATCCTGGGAATAGTGGACGGCAATTGCACTGTCACCTGCTTTCAAAACCAGACTCGGTTATGTAACTATAGTCAGAGACAACCAGGAAGCAGATCATTTTCTTTAACAATGGAAGACAGTTCAGTTTTTTCAAAAGTCCCCCAGGGCATGGCAGTCCTGAAGAACTACATTCCAGCAGAATTACTACCTAAACCACAGAGTTATCTTTTAGTCTAAACACAATAATGCAAACTGCTTTCCCTTACCGTCAAACTAAACAGCATATGGAGAAGTTCTTCCACAGGAATCCAACAGCTGATAATGTTATCAGCAAATCCAAGCACAGATGTAGACTGGCTTTCTCTCCCCTTCTCTCCTGTGTGTGTGTGAATGGCTTCTGTCAGCTGACAACAGGCTCAGCTTTTGTCCCTCTAACACTTCTCTACCTGCTTCCTGAATGTGCCTGTGAAAAGCACCGACTGTGAGCCAAGGTGTGTATGAAAAGCCTGCAATGGCTGATTTGCTTTTTAGGTGGTGTGCTCCATCTTCCTGCTCCCTTGTCAGTCATGTGAGCGAATACGGTGCTGAGATTGGTCAAGGCAAAGGAAAGAGAGGAGGGGCTGCAGGAAAGGATGGCTGGAGGGAGGGTTCAGGCAAGGAGAAGGCGAGAGGGAAGCGTGAGGAGGGGACCTAATGTAGGATGTAAACAGCGCACAGGGGAGGAGCATGGGGGCTGCAACAATCACAGGTAGCAATTTAACGAGCATTCAACCGGAATATTTAGAGCAAAAATTACTATTTTACAAATGTTTACCACACAAAAATAATTTAAAACAAAAATGATTGGCAATCATCTGCTAGCTAGATATTGGCATACTGTCAATAGTAACAGATCAACGGATGCTTCTCCTAGGTCTTTGGCGAGTAAGAGTGATAGATTTTCTTTTGCTGTCCACCTGAAAGCTCGCTCATCGAGGCAGAGCTGTAGAGACTGCAGTCATGACTAGGTAGAAGCACTACACCAAAACGGTTGTGAAAAAGCAACCAAAATCCAAAGAATTATTTTTGTTTTAAATCCTTAAAAACTCTGAGGACGTATTGTTCAAGACCACTTCAAACAGGCTGGCAATGACCTTCGCACAATAACATTTAGATTAGGTTTGTCTTACTACAATTCAGATATTTCAACTTATCCTCCAGTCACAACAAGCTGTCATCTTCAGCTACTTTACATGAAGACACTGAAGTATTTTTGCACAAACACATGGACAGCTTGATGTGAAAGCACAGCTGTTTGATGAGAAAGCACAGCAGATACACGCAAACAAATCTTCAGTGTTTTAGAAAACAGAACAGTTTTGAAGACAACAATCGTCACTCACCGAGTGTGATGACAGATTTGAAAATCATCTGAAATGAGTCATTAAAGCATTTACCATGAACTGAGACTGCTAAATAAAATGGTAAATGGCTCATACATGTACAGCGCTTCAGCATGTCCAGAGGACCCCAAACCACTTCACACTACATTCATACACACATTCACACGCTGATGGTGGAAAGCTACTGGATAGTAGCCACAGCTGCCATACAAATCATGAATTTATATAATTTATTAACTACATGCTTTAATATAATCACAGGGAAGTGTAAGGAAATAGAATCCAGCATTGCATTTTCTCTGATTGATACCAAATTCAAAGGAAATCAGATCATTTCTGGCCAAGGAAGCTAATAGACATGTGCATACAAATATTTCTGGAGCTATTTGTAAAATCACTGTGCACATTGTGGACTCATTGGACAGATGGATTGAGAGACGACTGTCAGTCAGCATGTCCTGCTGAGATAGAAAGAACGGACTACTGGTACATACAGAAGGTTTCCCCAGTGAATCCATGATTTTTAACCTCCTATTCTAAGCTGTTCATAAGGATGTATTGAAGATATACTTCACACAGAGCATGTGGTAGTTGTGTATTACTCACTGTTGCAGCTCTGTAGCAGTGAGTGGAGAAGACTGCAGCAGCTGGAGTATATGTGAAGAATCTGAAGCCATGCAGATATCGCCCTCCTTTTCAGGTCTGGGAGACATTTTGTAGAGACTGGAACTGCTCAGAGCCAGCTCCAGGGCATCCATCCAGCACCGGCCTGCAGGCAAAAGATCCAAGAAGGGAAACGTGTGTTATTAGTATGTTCTAATGTCCAAAAAACAATGCATCAAGCATGGGACAATACTGAACTCAAAGAGTAACAGCAGCTCACCATCAGACTCAGATGCAGCCCTGAAGATCAGGTAGTTGCTGGGTAAAGGCTGCGTGATGGAACCAACATTTTCTCCTTTCGGACCCTAAAGAGAGAAATCAAACACAGTGACTCACGCTGTTCA